CTCCCGCAATCTCTATGCCATCTAGTACTTCCTGATTCGCCGACTACGACGAATCTCTCCATTCTCATGACAAAGGTTGATCGGGCGTGATGGTTGCTGGGATTCACCCGCCATCCACCCTTCACCATCCCGCTTACCCTCAGAGAAATTACCTCGCTTTCGCTTTGCACCGCAGCGCTTCAATTCAGCCATTGCTTTGTTGGCCCTCTCCATCCGTAGCAAGCACTTGACAGCTGCAGAGGGAGCAGTCCCATGCTCAACACGATCACTCGGGTTCAACGGAGAGCAGCACAGATAATCACTGGAGCCTTCCGTACCACGGCAGGTGCAGCAGTCGACGTCGAGGCAAACTTACTGCCAGCACCACAACAGCTTGAACAAACAGCCCTAGAAGCGATCATGCGCATTCGAACCACACCACTTCACGCAGAGATGACCATCGACGGAGACGTGGGTGGGAAGAGCTCCCTGGACCGACTGTCCAGACTCCTTGAAACCAAATACCAGGTCCAGCTCGATCGGCTGGAAAAGCGTCAACAACATGTGGTCCCACCGTGGTGGACACCACCAGTCACACACATCGATATGTCTGCTGAGGAGGCCATCAAGCGGCACGATGCCGCGGACCCGCAAGCCCTGCGAATATACACAGACGGCAGTGGCATCGACGGCCACGTCGGTGCTGCGGCGATCGCCCTCACTTTACCGGTCATGGGGGTTCTGACAAAGAAAACGGAATATATGGGCACCACGAATACATCCACTGTATATGCAGCCGAGCTCCAGGGTATCGAGCTGGCCCTTCAAATGGCACTTGAAGTCCAAGCGAAGACAAAGACAGCCGGCAAATGCATCATCTTCACGGATAATCAGGCGGCCATCCAAGCGATGGGCAACCCTAAGTAACCTTCAGGACAATACATCCTGGTGCGCACGATAGGTCTGCTAGACCAAATCCGAAACCAAGGATGGGACATCCGGATTTTCTGGATTCCCGCACATGTCGGCATTCCTGGTAATACTTGTTAATGTGATTCTTCAAGTGTATCCTATTAACCTATGAACTTCTAGGTACTTATATACTTGTAGGCTTGGTCTGCCTATCTAGGCAGCCAAGCCACAGACTTCATAGCGGCGTATGCCTAGTAGGCAGATACTCCACCTCGTCACGTGCTGTTCAGAAACAACTGTAATGAAGTCGCCGATCGAGCTGCTAAGGAAGCTGCAGCTCGACCAAATACGAGGACCAGCTCAGACCCATTGGTGGAACCATCTCCGGAACGAGAATCAACATGTGTTTTGACGGCAACCACGAAAACAACTATCCGACAGAGGATGAGGGCTGAATGGGAACAATCCTGGGAACTCGCCAAACAAGGACGCGAGCTCTACAGGCTCGGGGTTCGACCAGGAAAAGATCTCCTGACTCCACATGTAGGCACGCACCGAGCAACTAGCTCAGTCATGACACAGATGCGCAACGGCAAGATCGGCCTGCGCGGCTATCTGCACGCCATCATAAAGCCGATACCGACCAATGCGACTGCGGCTATGGACGTCAAACTGTGCGACACATCATCCTGGAATGCCGAAACTGGTGTGAGGAGCGACGAAGAATGTGGGCAGGCGGAACTCCATGCGGGGACATCAAGCAGGTTCTCTGCAGCTCACCCATCGCCGTACGTGCAGCAAAGATGATGATTAGGACGGGACTGCTGGAGCAATTCCGGGCAGTGCCGTCCACGGTTTTCGCATACACTTAAGCGTAGACGAGTGTTTCTTATCAGACAGAAGTCGAGGACGGTCAGGAAAGGCCGGACAGGAATCACGGAGACAGAACGGTCATCAAGGCTGTAGTACAGGTGGTGCCCACGTTAAGAAAAGGTTAGGAAGCAGTTCGTACCAGGAACGGCTTGTCGTACGGAAAACTCGACGGGGGAACCACCGGTACTTATAGTCGTACGCTGCATAGCTACTGTAGACTTGAAGCTCAGAACTGGGAGACAAGTGTGATATGTCTAGGAACTACCTATGAGAGTATGGAAGTTACTTATAGTCATAGCCAGTGCCCTCGGGCACTGGCTAGTGCAACAACTGCCTGGTAGGCAGTTGCCACTAGTTGTGGTGTTGCCTGCAGTGAGCATCACGTGACCTGGGATCCAACTTGTAGAGTGGCTGGGTCAGACTATGACGTAATCAAATCAAACGAGGAGGAGAGGATATGTTCCGTGGGAACCAGGTGACATAGAGGGAGAAGGTATGTAAGAGGGCAGGTTCACGTCTTAACAGGTCTGTAATGCTTGGCAACTTGCGTGGGTGTAAAATCAATTCATCAACCAATCAATCAATAGGTCTATAAAGCCTCTAGCCTACGATACTCCGCGATGGCCTCCATATCGACTGCGAACGCCTCGAGATCGAGCGAGCTAATATCGACGTCGTCCCAGGCACGCGCCCGGCTCATAGCCGTATAGGCGTGACCAGGCGCGAACATGCCACTGTCGAGGCTGACGGAAATCTTGTCCAGGGTCAGCCCCTGCGTCTTGTGCACAGTTAAGGCGAAGGCCATCGCAAGTGGCATCTGCGTGCGCCGACACGGCACCCCGTTTACCGAAAAGTAAGCGGTGGCTGGCCGCACCAACATCACCTATATGTCCGATGAGCATCAGTCGATAAAGGATAGTCGGGGCGACGTGCCTTGAGACCGCTAGGAGTGCCAAAGGCAACTCGCACCCCAAGCCAGGTAGCGGGTAGATCGGCGCGGTGTAGGGTCGCAAGTCCGTCGAAACCTGTAACGATCCCTATGGACCCGTTCGATACGTGCTGAGATATCAGAGTGTTATTTAGAAACATCACCTTCGCGCCCACCGAGATGTTTAGCAACATAGGGTAGTTCGTATGCCTCTTAAACGAAGGCTCCGACTCATCATGACGGATCATGGTCTCGCCCTCAAAGTTTACACTCACGTATGTAAAAGTTGAATGTGTAACATCGCATAGCATTGCCGTCATTTCCGCATTAAGAGTTGCCGCGGCAGACCGTAAACCGACCAAGAATGTCGTCTCTAATGTGATATCCTTACGTGGGTAGGCGAGCGACCGGTCACGCAATAATTTTAATGTTGCCGGCGTCATGTCGCCCACGCGGACGGCATTGAGGATGTCGTAGAATGGGGGATCAGTAGCCTGCCTCTGCGACCTACGCAGGAATAAGGGCGCAAATGTAGACCAGCAGTGAGCCTTGAAAACCTGCGAGCCAGAAACTGGCGGAAGCTGCATCAAGTCCCCAAGCAATATAACATGAACAGGGCCGAACGGAGTGGGCCGCCGGTGAAGACGCGCAAATAGCTTCGCAATAAAGTTGAGCAGCTCTGCTTCAAGCATCGACACCTCATCAATAATGATGACGCGAACCTTACGAAGCTGAGACTTCGACTCCTCGGTTGACAGGGCGAGGCTCTCGTATCCATAGCCCGACTCCCTAGATCGAATGCGTAATGCAGAGTGGACCGTAGTGCCATTAATATTGAGCGCCGCAATGCCCGTGGGCGCCATCTTGAGGGAGTGCAGGCGCTGAGCGTCAAACCATAGCTCAAGCTGGTTTAACAGAAAACTCTTACCTGTGCCGGCGGCGCCCGTGATGAAGAAATGCGTCCCCATTTGCGTGCCAGGCGAGAATCTCACTGTAGAAGTGATTTTATGATATGCCTGGTATTGATCCTCGTTCAAAGACAAAAGGTCTAGGGTAGAGGGAGGTACCGACGCCCCCATGTTAAGAATTTTCAAGCGGTCCTCTAATTGAAGGCGTGCTTGAGGTTGAATGGTTAAAAGAAGCTCCTGTACCTGGTCGTCGTAAGACCTAGTGAAGGCGGCCTGCTGTAGCGCAACCGTATCGCTGTGAGAGTGAAGCAGGTCCTGATACTCGGCGGCGCGTAATTGTAAGAATCGCGATTTATAAGTCTGGTCAGGTCCTAAGAGTTCGTCCTCCCTCCTCCACGAGAGGATGGCTAACAACCTGTGATAGAAAAACGACTCGCCATGCTGAAATGTCCTATATGCGGTACGGAGAAGCAGGGGCTATCACGACGATGACCTTAGCAGGTTGCTGGGAAGGTTAAGCCGGGCCGAGCAGGGGAAAGCTTACAGACCTTTGGACGCAGCCAGACCTTATATCCTATCTCGTCGACAACTGGCCGAACACTCCTGGGGTTCGGGGCTGAAGGGGGACAGACCATGCATCTTGTATGATACTCGAAATAAGTCATGCTATCAAAGGGCAATGATCGGGGGCGCGCAGCGTATTTTTCGAAAGTGTCTTTGAAGAAGAGGTCGTCATCGCTCGTAGCGTCCAGTATCGAAGAGACCGGCTTGAGACTATACATGCGGTCCTTCGGAAGCTGCGTGCTTAGCCGGATGCTGTCACTGCTGACGCTGAATATCGGCTTTCCGAGCAATAGGGCCATGACCTCCATGCTCCCTAATCGCCGGGCCTGAATGTGACGGTTGATGGCCGAACCGGGCACACCACTATACAGACCCGACGGCTCAGCCTTTGTCACGTACTTCGTAATGTATCGGGCTAGGCCGCGGCCCGTGCAATACTGAACGTTGCAGTGAGCCTGCCACACCAGCAGTAGGCGCGGCGAGTAGGGAACCACACAGCGATCCGCGTCCCTTAGGCGTTTGTACGTGTACCGCAAGTCCTCAGGCCTCTGAAGTGTCGTCTGGGACAGGTCCGCTGGAAAGCCCTTCGTACATTTAATATCAGTGTGTCGAAGACGTCTACGGCACAGCTGCGCAGAGCAGCGATGGATCTGATGTCTCTGTACAAGTTCAAATAGCTCGGGCTCAGCCGTCTCATCTGGCACGTCAGCCCGAATGAACCCTCGGCCGATCATGGCTTCCATCGATTCCGATACCCAGTACAAGGAGTGAGTGTGGATGGCGCCGCGCTGCTGGAACTCGTGCCTCTCTACCCACTCCCTCAGCCGGCCAAAACCGCTCAGATGCTCCTTCCTCAGGAACTTGTCCTTTAAGTTTTGAAGACGGCGGTAGTAGTATGTGATAGCCTCCCATGGCCTGTTCGACGGGGTCGGATCCCTGTTACCAGTATCCGCCAATATGCGCATATAGTCGGCCCACCACTCCGAGAACGTTAGCGTGACGAATAGTTGTGGCTCGGCGAAGGCGTTCAACATGGCGCCGATCTTTGCCTCCGCGGTCATAAAGAACTGATCCCCGGTTCGGATGGATGACGGGACTGTTGTCGTTATCATCTCGTTGATTATCGGGCCGTCACCATACTGAGACTGCCGTATAAGCTCTGTAGCGCGCAGCCTCCCAGTCTGCGCCCGACGGCGGAAAGCGTGCACGAGACGGGAATGGTTCTGGAATATCCTCCGCTGCTCAAGCTGCATATACATGAAATGGGGCCAGTAGTGATCATCACGGTAGTGTGGAATTATCGATCCGAGCTTGAGGTGGATGGCTTCGGCCAATGTATACCGCCGACGAGGGGCAGTGGCTGGATGAGACGCGGAGTCGTAGGCTCCTCGACCATTAGGGTACAAGGTAGGGAAGAGCAGCATCTCCGTCTCAGCTTCTGATCCGGCCAAGCAGTCTCCAGTCCGAAGGGCGTCCACAGCGACTGGGAGTCGGCGGAAAGAATAGTCCTCGTTATGCGTCACGGGATCAAACTGGGACGGATCCAGCACTATATCAGGCCGGCTATCTGGTAGCCGCTCCTCCGAATCCGCGATCACAGAAGGCAGCACCAAGCGATCCTGTACCATCTGTGGTGTGGCCCATCGCCCGAAGAGAGGGTTATTCTGACGTAGCCAGGTCGCCGCCCGAGAGAGCCGTTCGACGTCCAGGCTTGTAGGGCGCCATTCTGCAGAACTATGTAAGAAGGCGCCCAAGACGCCTGAAAACAGGGCAAGGGCAGCGTCGTTCTTTGATACAGTCATACGCCCTACGAAGGCGTAAGCAAATTACCTAAGGAGGATATCTTGAGGGCGAATAATGGTATGGGATAAATATAGAGGAGTGCTCACCCGTCATACTGCGGTATGTCAAATACGAATTAGGATTGTCGGACGTCCCATGAACCTTTCCCAGGTTCGAGGAGAGGCGTAGAGGCGATAGATATGGACGGCAAGAGTGCGGCATTTCTACGAGTATCGCAGGCCAAGGCCCTGCGAGAATGGGAGGCCGGGACTTCGTTTTACAGCGGTAGCAGACTGAAATCTGTTCCCTCCCTGTCCTACCGATCCTCCTCGTTAGTGGGACGCCAAGAATAGAGACCAGGCCATATTCTACGGCCTGGTCGTAGTTAACCCAGTATGCTTTTTTGGGGAACATTAGAATACTACAAGAGCTGCAAGGAGTTGCAGGGAACTCTGCGTTGTACGTGTCGATGAACCGCCTGTATAATCGTAGGAATGCCGGCTCTTGTAGAGGCGAATCTTCCATCAAAGCAGATCGATCAGGAGGCATATCGTGTTGGCGTCTAGTATAACGTTGAAAACTCTGTATAGTAGGATAGGACCGGTTACACATAGAGCACATATGTCGCACAGAGGTCCCAGGTTGGGGGGGCTCCATATGCCTCCGTCGCGTGTGTCGTCTGAGACTGTCCAGACTAAGGTACGAAAGGCCACATGCAGAACAGACATGTCGCACAGGTGCAGTAGCAACACGACTATGGATGGCGGCATGGACCCGAAGATGGGCGGCGCGGTTGAAGGCGCGCCCACAGTCGGGACATGCATGCCGCCTTATTGAATCACGTCGCGCTGAGCTGCCAGGCAGCCGCAACGCAATATTTTGGGTCGCAAGGTGCCGGGTGACGTCGAGAGTAGATAATTGTAGCTCGGCAAGAGGCGAATCGGCCATCGTAGACACACAACATAGACAGGTAAGAAAGCTAGAGGGGCAGGGACATGAGAGGAATGTCCAAGACCTATGTGGCCCGGTCTGGTTATACCCCACATCACGCCTAAAAGCAAGACCATAGCGCCACAAATAGTAGATACTACTGGCGGCTACCCAACAGCGTCGAGGCTAAAGACTAACGTGTATATATTACGCAGATTCCAAGACGGCGCATAGCCAAGTCGTATATCATTGCTACAGATTGATAAAACACCGACGAAAAGAGATTTACAAGTCGCAGTATCAGAACCGCCTACTCGTTGGACGCCTGCTGACGAGCCCTCTTACGCCTCGGTCTCGAGGAAGACTGATACTGAGTGATGTCAGCATCAATCGTAGGGGAGTTCAGAGGCTCCGGAGATTCCCCCGAGGCAGACGGCAACAAAGGCGACTCAGTGCGGTGTGAGGCAAGGGCGGCTGCATCGTCGTCTTCGTCACTAACAGGGCGGGATGGAGATAGTCGACCCTCCGTCATCGAGTTCGAAGCTTTACCCTTATCCTTAAGCCCTGGGGAAGATGCCACTGGCGACGAGTCGACAACCGGCGGTAGAGACCCAAGCATACGCGGCTTCGTCGGGGTTGTGAATACGGAAGACGAAGACTTAGACTGCGACCGCGTATCCGACCTTGTGAGACTAATATTCAATGGAAACCCGTACGCTACATGCCAGGTTTACACGTCAGCTACGTTGCTCATGACCCGTATACGAGGAAAGAGCTACGTACCACGATCTTCCGGCGTCTCCAGCTGAAGTTTCACATGTAGATCAACGGGCTTGTCGACTGTCAGGAAAGGCAACAGGTTCTTAAATTTACCTCGAGCCGTTTGGACAGGCAGGGTCAGCTCTGACACAACGACCCGCCGCTCCCGAAGATCATACTGATCAAACGGAACATCCACGAAACCAAGACCACTTTCCTCATCGACCTTATATAACTCCGCAGTAACCACTGCAGTCATAGATAGCAAGATATCGGCCAATGGCAGATCCTTAGTTCCCGTTATAGGCACTGCGAACACAACGTAGAACTACACCCATGCGACTCAGTAAAGGTCACGTAGTAGCAGGGGACGAACCTTCGGAGGAAAGTGGCGCTCAAGGACGACTGTGCCAGACATAAAATATATATTGCCCGTGACAAGCCTCAAGTCGTCCGATTCCCGATAGTAGATAACAACATCGGCCGTGTCCCCAGCACAGTCCCTATACTGGCAGGCCACATCACGCTGCGCGCTGGAGCCCGACTTCCTATCGGCTCTAGCAATAAGCTGGAAGATCACCGTCATACGGCCAACTCAATAAGGAACCTAACAGATAGCAAACGGAGGAAAGTGAGGAGGGGCGAATATGAAAGCAAACGGTTGTAGTAAAATGTCGTCCTCACGATTTCAAGTCGCACGGAAGCAGCGCAAGGGTTAGAGATACGGGGTTGCGAGAGGAACAAAAAGCAAAGAGATGCGGGGTGGGGGTAGGGACAGTGGACCAATACGGTGGAACAAACATAAAAGAAGGAAACAAAAACACGCACACTAATCCCTCTTACGACGTAGACAGGAGTGGCCGCTATGGGTAATGAGGACCCCGAAAGAAATAAGTCTCGGCATGGCGAGCAGAATACTTATATCTAGAAGGGGTCAGGGCGTAAAAACTGGCCGACGTAGACAGCCATGTTGTACAGGAAAAGCGAGCTCGCAGGGGAAACGCAACGGGGGACAGTCAACTGATAGATGAGACGAGAGGAGAGAGAGAATGATGATACCGTACCATGGGAGGTGGTCAGTCGAAGTAGGATGAAGCTGTTCTCACGCTCAGCCACCGCTGGGATGTCGTGAGCGCGAGAGATGAAAAAAAGGAAAATTCAAAAAAAGAAAAGAAAGCGGGGAAACGTTACCAGGCCCGCCAACCACGACGGGCGAAGCCGACCCAGCCAACCGCCAAGACGAGATCATGAGGGTATAAGGAGCAATCAATCAACTTATTACTGTTGGCTACAGTACAGACATGGGCCAAACTTTTATCGTCGCGGCACTCCTCAATATGGAATTCAATCACCGCCAGCCATGGATGTTAGCCACTGCTCCACGTGATTTCTAACCACCGTTCTTCAGGGATGTTAGTCACTGCTCTATGAGTTGACTAACGCTCTTCATGAAACATTACCCTGATTCAGGCAGAACTTAACCACAATTCTCTATGGGGCTCTACTACTTCTCTAGGCGGAACATCATCACTCCCTAGTCTAAACAGGGTGTAGTTTAGGCCCCGGCTGTCACGAAACAACCACCACTCTTCCTGAAGGTATACTGCTGTACCACTGAATCGAATCACTCTCCTATGTAGAAGAGTCCTGTTCACGAAACACTGTTCTTGATGGAACTTACGCACTAGTTTTCATGCAATACCACTACCGCTATTTGTGAAACTGGATTATCACGAACTTACTCATTGGTCAGTATAACCACTGTTTGCTTTCGACTCTCATCACTCCTCTATGTGGAACTATGTTGTCTGCTTTCATTAAACTTGATCGTCGTCAAGCTTAGCTAAAAATTTTGTCCGGCACAGTTGAATTTAAGCGCTCTTCTTCGAGGGATCAACTGTAAGTATCATGAACTTTGACCACTGTCAAACTTACTTACCGCTGAATTCAGCTACCGCCATTCATGGAATTAAATCAGCGCTCAATTTAAATCCTATTCTTCGTGGGGCTTAATCATCAGTCCCTGTTAACGGAACCGCAGTCTATCGAGGAGCAAATCCATTCCTGTTCGTGGAAACCAAGGGTTTCAAGAACGTATCCACCGTGTCGTCAAATCTCGAGTGATCCAGTACAGCGTTTCCCGAAAACACCCTTCCTTTACAGAGATACATCACTCTCATCCCTCCAGAGACGGACAAATAAGCCTCTAGCACTATACTTCTTTAGTCATATTGAGGTCTGGGCTGCGACATTATTCATTATCGCACTAAGGCTGGTACAACTCGGTACAATAACATAAGCGTCCTTTATCACTATCTGTATTCAGCGAGAACGTCCCTCTTATTTCTTAGCATCGTACGAAAGAAATCATTCAGATATCTGGAAGGTCCAGTTTCGGAAAGACTGCGCTATGTGTTCACGAGACACTTAGAGGATCAAGAAAATGGCATTGTTATGGGGGCTAGTAGCAGGCGGTCCACCAGAAAAAGACCGGAAACAGCAGTAGTTCCGAGAAAAAATGTGGCTGTTAGCCGGCGTTCAATGAAGATTACCCTTTGCGCGGAAGATATTAGGAATGATTTCAGCAAGAGTTTTCGAAGACCGAGAGTCGAGTAATATGAGGAAGGATTAGTGGTAATCTCATAGAAGATATTAGTAGAACTCCCGGAATAATAAACGTACGCGACCAACACAATCTTCACAACCCGAATAAAGAACTGCATCACATGATTGCATTAGCCGAGGTCAAAGCTGAAGCCGTTGTGCTTCCATGCCGCACAGTGGGCGTTAATGGTTAGCTGGCACCGAGCAAATCTGATAGGACAAGGTCAAATGCTCACATCTCCGTGACGAGAATGCTACAGTACAGCATCCATTCGTTTGAAATCGATCACAACTCTCTCATGGGAGGAGCTAACCCAAACAGATTGAAAGTCCGCAAAACTATTTGCTATTTCCTGCACTCTCCTCTGTCAAGTCAATGCTCGACCACTATGTACTATAGCAGCAATTTAGCACGGCACTCAGGACCTAAATCGACCCGGAGCAGATGCAGTGATTGATAATCAAAGTCAACAGCAATTAATGGATAGAACGGATGCAGGACAATGTTATACTCGTCACGGGGCAGCCACCATGCTGGAGGGGAGTATGACCGAGACTCACTATAAATGCCACTTCAACCACCCTAGCACCAGTGCTTAGTGATATGTACAGTATCTGTCCTCTACCCTGGACAATAAGGCCGACAAATTGTGCGGGGGTGTTGTTTTGAGAAGGAGCTAGGTCCACGGAACAGAGACAACAAGACCTCGCTGAATTAGAGGCGCCGTCGCGCGGATTTGCACCACCGATACGGCGCTGCTTCGATTTTGACGGGACAGTAACCAAGGGACTTCACATATCGCACGAGAAATCCGACGTTGACGTATGAGTTGCTCTTCTCTTGTGCACCAGACGGTTCTGCACAGTGATGCCGATGCATGAAGCATACTATAGTAGTGAGGGACCGGGCCCTACTGCAACTTTTAACCGGTGTCCATGACACATAGGAGATGGATCGTAATTGGTTTTCTCTCTTCCTGGATCAAAACTTGAATCCCACTTCAATGAAATCCAGATTAACACCCCTTGAAACTAGCATTCGACAGATATGTCGCACCTCATCAGCCAATCCACCAGCAGCGCATACACTGATGGCCATGTAGCCTATCCTGTTGTTTGCTTCCTTTGTTATCAGTGCTTTGATACCTAGCCCTTCTCATACTCTTTGTTATTATCCGCTGCCTCCAGAGGAATGCTTGAGGAGAGTGGTCGTGTGAGAATACGCCTGATCAAGCTCTAATACTGAGGGTGATGTTGGGTTCCATCGCCAAGGGTACGATTCTAATAGACCAAAAGTCTCAGAGCAGATTCCAGAATTCCGTCCTCCGAAAATTTCTTCTGTCTCCCTTGTCGAGTCACGGTAGCTAGGGTTCTGGAAGCATCTCTGCCTGCCGCTCTAGCGTCTTTTGGACTAGCTCGCTACTTGCGATCTCTAGCAAGGCTGAAAGAGTAAACTCATGACTACTGTCGGCTTCTTCAATCTTTTGCGTAATAAGGCAGACGCTTGCCAATCCCTGGCTGCGAAAACTGAGGAGACCAGGTCGCCATCGAAGTTAAGGTGGAAAGTGGGATCCGGGTCTCCATACAAGCTTTTGCTAGCCAGTAAATGTGATAGCCTCTCAATCTGGATTGGCTCGGTCATTTTTCCCCTTCTTTCTAGTCACCCCACCAATGGTAACCACTCGCCCACGATTTACCCCACTGAAAACGGAAGGCTTCCACTCTCTCCGCACAAAAATGCACATAACGGAAGCATCTCTCCGCGGAAGTAACCCTGCCACGTATCGACCCATTTCCGATATCACATGATCAGACTAGATGTCTCCTTTCCTGTGTGCAGGAGCATTTCATAAGATTCGAGCTACTTAACTCAGAGCACTTTACCCTCCCCGACATCAGAGAACTGGGCAAGACTTATTCGTAATCATCGACCACATACAGACACTGTCAGCATGGTCTTCAAAATAGATCAAGCCGCTCTTCTACTTCGGGGGTTCTCGGCTTTTAGGAACGCAGGCTACATTCTCATTTGTCTGTTGAGTATTGTACTCTTGCACGTCATATACGTGTGGTTTTTCTCTCCGCTTTGTCACATCCCTGGACCATTTCTCGCAAGGTTTACGCGGCTATGGGAGTTCTGGATGATCGCCAAGGGAGACTCCCATCAGAGGTGGGTTGAGCTGCATGAGAAATATGGTCCGTCTTTCTACAGCTTGCAGCTTGGGATAGATCGTTAACGATGCTTAGGTCCTGTCGTCCGGATTGCTCCCAACCTGTATAGCTTTAGTGAGGTCGAGGATATGAAAGCGATATACTCACCAGGAAACAAACTACCTAAAACGACCTATTACAATACCGCAGGCGACCCAGAACGCAGAAACATCTTCTCCATGACCAATGCTGACGATCATGCGCTTCGTAAGAGGAAGATCTCGAACCTTTATACAATGACTAGCATGATCAACTACGAACCTGCGGTGGATAAGATGAATGCTGTTCTGATGGAGAAATTCCGACAGTTCTGGCGGGAGAATCGTACGGTCATGATTCCTCAATTTGTTCAGTACTATGCATTTGATGTGATCGGTCAGATTACGGTAAGCCTAGGACTTCCAATTTCGGTATACCGGTATACTTGCGCTAAGCCATCGCACCAGGTTGATGAGAGCTTCGGTATGATGCAGAAGGAAGGCGACGCCGAAAACATGCTAGAGACAGTCAAGAAGGCGACCTTGTATCAAAACCTAGGAGGCATTTTCCCAGAGTTTCACCCCTACTTTGTCAAGGTCAACAACCTTTTTCGAGTGCCTCATGCTGGCGTTGTACTAGAGAGGGTTAGTCGCCGACATCTTGAGCATCACAAAACCCACCCCGTGGTAAACAACGACAAAATTACTCATGCTCAGCCTTTTGTGACAAAGTTGTTGAAAATGGAGTCTGAGGGTAAAGTCGATATGCTAGATATGATTGATGGAATAGGTGCAAACATCGTGGCTGGATCAGATACAACTGCGATTACGCTTTCAGCCGCTCTGTACTACCTGTATCGGATTCCTAATGTCCTCTCGAAGCTTCGAAAAGAGATTGGCGATCTTGCTGCGGATGGTCGGATTTCAGACCCGGTCACTTTCAGCGAAGCACAAAACATGCCCTATCTGCAGGCTGTCATTATGGAGGCTTTGAGAATCCATCCAGCAGTTGGATATCTACTTCCCAGGAGGGTCAACAAAGAAGGTTTGCTCTTGGCGGGAACATATTTCCCTGAAGGCGTAAGATTCAATCATAAGGCTGGAGCTGAGACTAACTCATTATGGTTATAGACTGAAGTTGGTGTTAACGCATGGGCATTGCACCATAATCCGCGCTTCTGTGGTCCAGATTACCAAGAATTCAAGCCAGAGCGCTGGTTCAACCAGGAGTATCAAAGGAACCTACACCTTGCGAGCTCGTTCGCGGTAAGTTTGGTTCGAGTCATGTCCCGAGCGAGTGCTAACAAACTTATTCACAGTTCGGCGCCGGGTCGCGACTGTGCCTAGGCAAAAACGTCAGTCTCCTCGAGTTAACCAAGGTGATACCACAAATTGTCAGACATTTCGACTTGGAATTTGAAAATCCAAATGAAGGATGGAAATTGCTCACCACATGGTTTGTATGGCAAGACTATAGATGCTGGATTAAGCCCAGAGTCGAGGCCCAAGCATGATATCAGAACAATCATATCCGTGCAGCACTAAGAATTCGATCTCTAGAATCGCCTAGTAGGAGGTTACTGGACGATAGGTCTTGTGATGATACCTGTGAGATTGCAATTTGAGTCTGAAAACGAATCAGGCTAAGTTACTCAGCCAAAAAAATGCGACAGTAAAGCTGTCATACTGATACATTCTCCGCTTCATGACAACTGAGAAGTCTGCGTCAGACCTCGAAGCGAAGAGGGCTCTCCGATCACACGTTCCAACATTCAGCCTTGTACGAAGGCTTGGCTACTTACAGACTACAAGCTGGCAAAGTTTAAATGCGACTACAAAGCACAGAATAACATACACAAATCAATAATTTCTACGTGCTCGTGAAACGCACCAAGGCGAGATCATACGGATATTCATGCATCATTATCGGCAAGATTTTCCCATTTGTATTTCTCGCATAATGCTGATGGGGAACTTCACTTCCGCTGCGAATCGGGAGAAATGGATTTGGAATCACATTGATAGATAAGGGGCTTCTGCGGCCGGAGCCTTCTGCGGCCGGAGCCATCTGCGACCCTGCCATCAACATGGCTCTGTGAGTATACTGCGAAACACCGAGGCCACATTGCGGTGGACAAAATGCGACAGCAAAAGGTCCTCGACGCTCTGGAGTGAAGTCATCATAAATCTCATGAGATGATTTCCTAAGGTGAAATCCGGCACGTGGAGTTTTGATCCGATGTCCCGTATAGTGTGGATCTCGACCTTGAGATCTGCATGATCCCAGATCCGGTGCCGGATGCTGTGATTGATGTCCGTTATGGATTTACTTCGCTGGCAGCTTGCATTGTCGGGTCTAACGACTGATACGTATCACCGCCTCTGATGTGGGAAACCCACAATCGCTTCCTTCCCCCAGCACACCTCGGCAGCATCTCACGGGGGCAGGACGTGTGTCGTTCCAGATCTTGTGCGCTTGATAAATGCGTCCACCATCTGTGAGACTGTGAGGTCTTTGAGCTCAGGTTTTGGACGAGTTCAGATCAGCATCTTAGGTTTGTGATATGGACCAATCTGCGGAACCATATGGCGGGCTTATGGTTCCGTGTCACAATGGCTTGGGCACCTTGTTCCTTGAACCGCCGAACTCGGAAATGAAAGGGCCCACGGATTGCAGCGGTAGTTGCCAAGGCCAAGCTACTTTCTTTGTCTATAATGAGTTCGAAGCTGACGCTTGCAAGTTCACTGTTGGTGGATGCGAAGTGTGTAAACTCTCTTGCAACATGTGTGCGTAATCTGTGCGCTGAGTAATCTATAGTTCGGATGGTGCACAAATAACGCAGAACCTGAGTTTCTATCATCCATTTGCCTTATTATCACTGGAAGCTGAGGGGTATACTTCGACTGTGGCGGGACTCGGCCTGGAGATAGACGCTAGAGAAATTGTTTAGTTGTTAACGCAGTAATTGAATAGAAATTTAGACAGCGGCCTCCGACATGGTTGACTTGCCAGCTCTAGCTGCCAAACACTCACAGTTCTAGTTCTATAGGCTGGACGCGCTGTAAGTCGAGAATGCGTGAATTAGTATTCTCCTCGACAAAGTTAGTGGCAGCACTCATTTCAATTCGGTATGGAGGAATCGAGTTGTGGCGAAGATTAGCCTTAAGCGCCACCAGGCGAGTACTTGGTCTTTGGGCACTTGCCTCTCATCGTGTAGACACCAAATAACCTGTTTCGGCTGGTCGAGCCACCTGACTAGCTCCAGTGCAAACTGTGCTGCAGAGCCGTCCCATGGCTATGGGTACCGAGAGTTCGTGCCGAAACGTGATTGAGCCACGGCCTATATTCCTGTCCGCCGCGAGTTATGAGACCGGACCCATGTAGTTTCCTCACTAAGGGGCATAGTAGAGAGATCCGTAGCGCTAGAGCACCGATATGGATTGGGTAGCCTTTTCAAGTTTCTCTCATCTTATTGTTCCTATAACTGAAGATCGACTGACAACATAAAACCAGTTACAATGCCATTTAGAATGGTCAACGTTAGGAGAAGGTACGTGGCGAGTAAGACCGAGTACATACGACGGTGCGAGTCGCTCTATACTATCGAGCAAAACCACAACACTAGATGAAACTCCCAAGATGACTTCTGATAGAGCTCGGTTTTCAGTCTTTCCATGTTATAGTTTTAGTGTGAACCCATTCTTTCAAGCCGTCCAAACTGTTGAACCTGCCGAATCCAGATTGTTTATATCCTCCATGTGGTAGTGAGCTTTCGTCATGCACTGTCATAGAATTGATATGTACTGCGCCACTTTCGATCTGTCTCGCGATGCGAAGGCCACGTCGCAAGTCCTCAGTAAAGATGGCAGAAGAAAGACCATAGGTAGTGTCGTTAGCAACCGAGATAGCCTCTTCATCGGATCGAACAACAATAACTGACACTGTAGGACCAAATGACTCAGTATAGTAGATGTCCATCGTTGGCTTAACGGATTCAAGGACAACAGGCCGCATTTTTGTCTTGCTCGATTCGCGATGTTCAGGGTCACCGTATAAAGCGGTAGCGCCTTTCGATATCGCATCTACAACCAAGTTTTCGTTGTGTTCCACGGGCAATTTCGAGAACAACTGGCCAGCGGTACCCTGTCCCTGCTCAGAATAGATCTTACTCAGTGCCGCTTTGAATGCTTCACGAAACGGTTTTACCACCTTCGCATTCACAAGGATTCGCTCAGTTGACATACAGATCTGGCCCGCATGAAGGAATGCTCCTAGAGCACATTGTGTTGCGGCTTTCTCGATATCAGCATCTTCGCAGATTATAGCTGGAGCTTTGCCACCAAGCTCGAGCACCGTGGGTTTGAGGTGTTTGCCAGCAAGGGAAGCAATAATAGAACCCACACGAGTCGAGCCCGTGAAGTTGATCTTCTTAACGGCAGGATTCGAGATCAATGCTGATGTGACGGACGCGGCATCTAAAGGCTTGTGATAAATGGTATTCAAACATCCGGCGGGCAGGCCTGCCGAACGAAATACGTCTGCAATCGCCCAGGACGTCGCCGGTGCTGCTTCTGGTCCCTTAAATATAACGGTATTACCCCTAAAAACAAAGTCAGTACTCGGTTCATATGGCAGATTACATGTCGTTCTACATTGCAAGTGGTGTAAGGATGGCCCTCACGCCGAGTACGTGGGGCGCATTCCACGGGGCGATCGCAAGAACAACGCCCCAGGGCTCTTTGAGCAGCAGGGCACTGCCTTCGTTGACAACAGGAGCGACTGACTCGCTGGCCACTTGAATAAGTCCCGCTATACTCACACAGATGTCGATGGCTGCACTGTATTCGAATCCAAAAAATGCTGGTGATTGGCCGGTCTCATTGTAGCTATAGCGTTTTAGTTCATCTCGCCTTTTTTCGAATTCTTTGGCGGCCTGGAGGAAAATGTCTCTTCGCACAGCAGGTTTGGTCAAGGACCACGTCTTGAAGGCTGTTTGTGCAGAGTTGACTGCCGTTTTAATCTCTTCTTCTCCAGCTGATGACGCCCGATACAGAGTCTGGTGAGTAACGGCCGAAGTGACCTCAAAAGTGGATGAGCTGATCACTTCTTTGCCATCAATCCATAACGGTACTGTGGAAGAACCGTCGAAAAATGACGCCTGTCCACCATTGGTCGTCATTGTGACTATGTAGAGGCGTAACTTGATAAAAGAAGTTCGTAAATTATTTCAACCCACATGGGCTTAAAAGGGTTTTACAGTTGGGCACCAACCGGAGATAAGCTCAGCTGCCGGTAAGTGCTGTAGAACAACAGGAAAGATTGTGTGGGGCGTAATTGCGTGGGATCTCTTTGCCAGCACCAGCACTACACTAAATTCGACGGGGCCTGCCAGCGTTCGGGTGAAGGGTTGACCTAGCCAGACATAAGTGTTTGTGTTGGTTTTGTGCTCTGTGGTCAAACTTATGCTTAATGTAATTAGTTGGCGCGTCCTTCAATAGATTATCTTTTCTTGTCACACTACAAGTCTTCATTATATATTACAAAAGAATAGAGAGGATCGAGAATGCGTCAAAAATCCTTTTCATGACGAATCCTACTAGATCTACAACAACTGTCATGCCCAAAATGCACGGATATTAAATTTTGGCAAATCGAGCCTTTATAGTACCTATCGGTCTACGCCCAAGCTGTAGACTTGATGAGCCGCAGTGCTCAGACCGCATGTGAGTGGATCCACTCCACCTCTTCAAATAGATCATACCCATAGACAACAGACTGCATTTCGGGATCAATCCTGACAAGAATAATCAATTAGTAACGGACGAGGTGGAACACCCCATTGCGTGACATGTTTTCAGCGTAACCTACCTGTAACATGGATATCCAGGTTGAGATTCGTCAAATTGACTAAGGCACATCACGCTCGGCCTGCTCTGGATCGTTAGGTAGATGGTTTTTGTATCTCTGTCAGATTGCCTTCATCAGCTGCTGCTTTTTCAGTCTCGAACCAACGTGCTTACCTGTTTCACTGCCTCGCTGTAGTGCAAGACTTCGAGCTTTTCTGAAATCTTGGTATTCCTTTAGAACAACCAGAAGATCTTTTGTAGCGTTGCACTCTGAGAGAAGAATTCTTAAAGCTGCGCCATCTTCCAAGGCCGAGTCTGCACCTTGTGCCATCTACGGCAAGCCGGGATGACAAGCGTCTCCAAAGAAAACAACACTGCCCTCATTGTTATACCACCGCTCCATCTCGTTGACTAGATCAGGCAACATGAGTAAATCTTCAGCGTTGGCCAGGAGTGATACACTCACGATGCATTAGTTTCCTCTTTCGACTTTGTTCAATACTGACATAGTGTTAATGTTTTAACGGGTAGCGCATGACGTGCCACTGCGGGCCTATTCATAGCGCGACCCGAGGAATTGAAGCAAACTCTTGGAGTTCCTTATCCCTGAGATCCTCGGTGTGAAGAAGAATTTGGTAAGCAACATCTCCAGTCGGAAGAGGAGGGCTGTCCTTTGAGGAAAACTGGATCTAGTTTTGACCATAGGCCTACGGGATCTGCCACATAAGATCTGCCTATATCAGCGTCACTTACCGTCCGCGGTGACAATTAGATCTCCCTTCATCTTCTCGCACCATCTGACAAAGTCACCTCAGGAATACTGAAGTCATGCTTTTCGACTACAACGTTGAAGCGGAATTTCACACCAAGTTCTTGGGCATCGAGGGTAGGTTGTAAATCAGATCGGTGAATGTCGCAGAAATTGCGTTGTACTTCCGATACCCACAGGAGTTTTATTTGCAAAACCGCTAACTCGATGCCGACGGAAAAACCCGTGCTAATTTAATCATAAGACACTATCTACAGGCTTCAGATTCAGTCAACTAAAAGGAAAATTGAGGTTCGTGACCAGACAGCGTGATACTAGAACCGACCTTCAAGGTTCAAAATAGTCACTGTTTGCAGGATAGCCGAAATAATATACACTCACTAGTACGCTCTACAGTAATTTTGCCACTCTTACCACACTAGTGTCTAAGCCTACGTATTCTGCAATCTCCCCTAGTGCGTAGAACCTCTTCTGAAAGGAACCTCCATCGGAATGCGCTTTCTGCGGGCTTTACGGAAGGATGTTCCTAGCTCTTCCCATCAAATCTCGGCATTTGTCATTCCACACCTGGCAGTAGTGGTATTAACTATATTAAAGTTGGGTTTTTGACAAACAAGTCGCGAGGCATCGCACATTCCGTATGATCCCCCTGTTGACGGGACTTCGGCGGTGACCAAGGCATGTTGATTGAGGTAGTTGTGATTCACAAGGTTTGAGGCTTTGGAAATTTTGCTGCCCAAGGCTTCATTTATACAGCTTCAGATCTGGTCGTGAAATTCCAGATCATACACCAAAGTCTCCCCACACAGCTTGTCCCAGAGTTAGTGTACTCTAACAATTAGTAACTTTCAATCATCATGCGTGAAAGAATGCACATACAGTACTTCATATGCTCTGGGTGTTCAATGCTTTTCAACGGACAGGGATGTAGAGATTGCGAACGGCTTTGAAAAATTCATATGATCTCGCAAGGATCTTGAACGACAATGACCAAGTCCCCACATAATGACCGAGACGTGTTTCCGTGTGCCCCACAGGTACCAAATGAAAGCCATCAAGATTCGCAAGTAAAATGTAATCTGGCGGTGATGTTACTGCATGTAAATGAGAGCAGTCCGGCACATACCGGGCATTTCTGCTCTCGTATTGGCATATCATAGTTGGAACTAGCAAAATAGATAGTATCTTTTGCAACTATGCAGTCTACATGTGTGTCGCCCACCTCCTGTCGGATTTCTGGTATAGTAGGCTCTGGACAAGGGCTGTGAGTTTAGAAGTCGATGAGGGTTCAGAGTTCCTCGCTCTCCAAGCAACTATCCCATCTGGTCTTATCAAAACAGCACCGTCCTCGTCCACACCACGGAGTTGTGCCCATGTACCCTCGATATCGGTCCAGCCAGCCTCCCCATCGATCACCTGTACATGAATAAGATCATTTGGAACAGATTCCCAGATGCCTGATTTTCCTGTGAGTAGGACGAATTTGTCTAGCTCCACCAGGTCGCGGGTAGAAATAGTAGTATCACCTTTTCGGAGCCACGAGTGTGGAACATGGTGGCCGGGAATTGTGGACGGGTGATAGTTGTTGATGTCAAACGTCCCATCCGCCAACAGTTGCCCTCCATGTCGTGCTGCCAGTCCTTCACCATTAATGTCAGCCGACTCGTAGAACCATCCAATTTCAATTCCAGGGGCGTGGAACTCATTGTCAAGGTCAGCAGCCGCCTGGCGGACTCGTTCTCTCTTCTCCTTGTACAGCTCATGACTCTCATCGAAGTATGCTGCTACTGATGCAAGGTTTTCCTCTGTCGATGTCTCGGCAGTAATATCCAAAGCGCCGTCCATGATATTGTTATGGTTGAGCATGTTGTGTAAGCTGTTTCGGGCCACGCGCTGGGCGATAGGCCGACGTTCTTTCTCATATGTGTCAAGAAAATTGCTGTACTTGGTCGGCTGGCCAGACTTGAGCGCAAGGCCAAGCTTCCAAATCAGATTATGTGCATCTTGTATACCAGAATTCATCCCGAGAGCTCCCCATGGTGGTACCCGATGACATGCGTCACCAACGAGAAAGATGCGTCCCCCCTCGCTTCGATAGCGTTCAGCGACTTTTGCATTCACAGTCCAATTGCTAATGCTTCGAAGACTGAGGTCCAAATCAGGAATCTCGAGACTTCTTCGAATCCGTTCAACCATTGTCTTCTCGTCAAATTCAACCGGGTCCTCTGGATGTTTAGGAGACGCAAGAACCCACTCCTCCTTCTTTTCGCGCGTTGGATAGTAGGGTCCGAGGTGATAGAGGTATCCGGAGCCCCTGCTACCTCTGAGTTTCGGATTGACAAGCCAGGAGATAAAAACAGCTTTGTTTGGGTGGATAGAGGCGATGTCTGCATTGAAGTGGGCAGTAAACATGTCAACAATATCGCTCTCGCCTTCCCATCCAATTCCCAGGCTTTCTGCAAGGCCTCTGCCCCCATCTGCCCCTAAGACGTACTGTGCTTCAACATCTTCACTTCCTCTATTGCCTCGATCCACTGTCAAAACAACTTTGTCTCCTTTCTCTTTTACTGATGTGACTTTAGAGTTGTAAGAAATGCAATTCGGCGCGATTTCGAGTGCACGCCGCTGCAAGATAGGCTCAAGTCGTATCTGGGCCAGCGTGCTATACTGCGCCGGACTGGCTCGTCGATACTCCTCTTGATATTTACCGCCTCCCCAGGAATCTCGGGAATAGATCTCACGGCCATTTGGTCCTATGTTTGTGTACCATCCAGTTTTTCCGGCAACATTCAGAGGGGCTCGATGTTTGACGACTTCACGCTCCACCCCAATATGCCGAAAGATCTCCATCGTACGCTGGTTTAGCCCGCAGGCCTTAGGATGGATCGACGTTCCCGGAAATTGCTCAAAGATAACATGGGGGATTTTTCGCATCGAAAGCAGAATGGAGGAAACGAGCCCGACGGGGCCTCCCCCAACAATAGCCACTGGTAGCATAATGTCAAGTGAGGAAAACACTGTTGCACCAAATCGTGGTGAATTCCCCAAGTTATCGTCTGTTCGAACACATTACCATCACGCTGCTCTGGGAGTAAAATTTTTGCCTGACCAAGCTGGGGAATAGTTGCTTGAAGACCATTTTGTGCCAACGTAAAGTATGGCTCTTAATAGGTGAGTTCCGCGAAACCCCCGAGGCACGGCGAGTTTCGTGCCGACACATCTCCACGAAATGTACGGGAGCCAACGCGTGAGTTGCCCGCCCCACCTCATTGACAAAGTCTGTTCCGCAAGCTTACCATTTGCAATTCCGGATACCCTATACAAAGGAGGCTTGCGATAGTTCAAAGACTCAAAAAATCCGTAAGCATCGACCAGCTCTCTTTTTATAACTCAGGTGACGTAATGCAAAAGCGCATCATCTGGCCTGGCCGTAACCAAAGAAGCTTGGTCGTTCTTTCGATCAACTACTGGGAGAGGTGCTCTTCTTTCAGTGTCTAAAGTGTTGGTCTCGAATCGAAGTGTCTACAATTTATCGTTATATGTCTACAGGCCGCGAATGTCAACACGGGATTCCCACGGTTGATACGATTTCTCTTTTGGATCTCCAATTGGACTTCCAAAGACTAGTTGTCCTTTCAGGCTCCAGTTAGGATTGACTTTCCACTTCGTACCAACTTTGAGGTCGATTACCGGGTTGTAGTGTTGCAAGTTGCAGCCAAAACCTTCACTTTGGAGCGCAGTCCAAACTGGCATATGAATATCGATCAGCACACACAATCTCACAAAGTGGAGCCTCTATGAAAGCAAAGGTGACAAGGCTTACGTATATACTGATGCATCGCATTTGAGTGTTCGGCCCATTGTGGAAACTTGGTTGCATATAAAGGAAATTTAGACTGAAGCTCTGCCGTAGGTTTTGGGTCTTCATAAAACAATATCTAAGACTGTCAGTCTGTTGATGGTTCAGGTCGAGGAAAACCCGGGTCATGTAGCAGGAGTTCAAAGCCATACCGTACCATATCCAGCCCGGAGGCCATCAAGCTTCTTCATTGTGGTCTCCCGTTGCTCACCATGGACCAGTGGCTCCAGTTCATGTTTGGTGATGTCCCATAGCTTCTTGTGTTCTTCATTCAGCAGCACTAAGAGGCGTGTCGATTGTGAGTTGAAGGAGCTTGGGCAGTGTAGAACAGTCGTTTTGATTATCTCGGCGAGTCGATTGGAATCGATAGGAGATCTGTTGTTGAGCTGATAGAAGCTGCGGCGGGATCGAACGGCATCTAGAAAGGCGCTCGATGTCACGACTTTCGACATTGGAGTGAAATGTCGAGAGTCAGGAAGCAGGTGACGGAAAAGTCTTTCGTGGAATACCTTGTTGTCGAGCAACAGCAACAAGGATTAGGCTGGTAAAACACACGACACTCAGGCACTGGCTTGTAAATCGGCCGCATACAGCGGATCACGGAAATCATTTGTTCTGGGGGACCTCTGTATTCCCGTGGTTAGCGCCCCACGAAATGAATTCCCACATCGCCTTGATTTAGGAGCCATTTCTCACCACTATCCCGTCTGGTGCCACTTGAGTGGTTGTGGGGCTGTTTGTGGTTGCTTGTTTCACGGACTGCACGAGAGTCGTGTGTTGACACCTGAGCATGCCAT